GTCCGGAGCCTGTGCTCCGCAACGGGAGAGGCCACAACAGTGAGAGGCCTGCGTACCGCAAAATCAACAACAACAACAAAAAACAGTATGGTGCTGGTAGAAAAACAGACACATACCAATGGAACAAAACAGAGAGCACAGAAATAAATCCACCCTCATATGGTCAATTAATCTACAACAAAGGAGGCAAGAAAATACAATGGGGAAAACACAGTCTCTTCGATAAATGATGGAAAAATTGTACAGCTACATGCAAAGGAATGAAAATGACCACTTTCTTATACCATATATAAAAATAAACTCAAAATGGATTAAAGACTTAAATGTAAGACCTGAAATCATAAAACACCTAGAAGAAAACATAGACAGTACACTCTTGACATCAGTCAGCAATATTATTTTTGATGTCTCCTGAGGCAAGGGAAACAAAAGCAAAAATAAACAAATGGGACTACATCAAACTAAAAAGCTTTGCACAACAAAGGAATCCACCATAAAAACAAAAAGGCAAACTACTGAATGAAAGAAGATATTTGCAAAACAATATAACCAACATGGGGTTGATATCCAAAATATACAAAGAACTCATACAATTCAATACCAAAAAAGCAAACAACCCAATTTTAAAAGTGGGTCAGGGACTCCCCTGGTGGCACAGTGGTTAAGAATCCGCCTGTCAATGCAGGGGACATGGGTTCAAGCCCTGCTCTGGGAAGATGCCACATGCCACAAGGCAACGAAGCCCACGTGCCACAACTATTGAGCCTCTGCTCTACAGCCCGCGAGCCACAACTACTGAGCCCGCGTGCCACAACTATTGAAGCCCGTGCACCTACAGCCCGTGCTCCGCAACAAGAGAAGCCACCACAATGAGAAGCACGCGTACTGCAACAAAGAGTAGCCTCTGCTCACCGCAACTAGAGATAGCCCATGCGCAGCAACGAAGACCCAACACAGCCAAAAATAAATTATTAAAAAAAATGAATTCCTACCATTTGCAGCAACATGCATTAACCTGCAGGGTATTATGCTAAGTGAAATAAATCAGAGAAAAACAAACACTATGATTTCACTTTTATGTGGAATTTTTACAAACAAAACACATGAACAAACAAAACAAAACAAAAACAGATTCTTAGATACAGAGAACAAAATGGTGGTCCCCAGTGGGACCTGGTGGGGGAACAGATGAAATAAGTGAAAGGGATTAAGAGATACAAACTTCCTGCTATAAAATAAATAAGTCATGGGGGTGTAATGTACAACATATGGAATCTAGCCAATAATACCGTAACAACTTTGTATGGTGAAAGACAGTAACTGGACTTATTGTAATGATCATTTCATAATGTATAATAATATCAAATCATTATACCTGAAACTAACATAATAGTGCATGTTAATTATAATTCAATTTGTTTTTTTCTTGCCGTGCTGTGCAGTTTGTGGGATTTCAGTTCCCCAACCAGGGATTGAACCCAGGCCCTTGGCAGTAAGAGCATGGAGTCCTAACCACGGGACAGCCAGGGAATTCCCTACAATTCAAATTTTAAATAAATAAATAAATAAAGGGGGGAAGATCTAAAGGATGAGGAGGAGGTTGCCTTTGAAGATAAGAAAGAAGGGTAATTGAGTTGGGGGGGCACAACAGGAATAAAAGCTCAGATGTGAGAGGGAGGGAGTCTTGACAGGTACTGTCCCAAAGAGAACACTGCTTTCCTCTCTGGAAAGGTCTTAACCTAAGGATAAGTTCCCTCCATTCAGCCTGATCATTACTTCCACCAGCCCCCTCAGTGCTTCAGTCCTATCATCCCCTGCCCTGGTTCCATGCCCTGGTCTCGGTATCCTCCTCGTATCAGGGTTCAATCAGAGAGGCTGAACCACTAGGGGATATATATCAGATAGATAGATCAATCGATAGATAAACAGGGATTTGATTTTATACAATTGGTGGAGTCATTAAGCAATCCTTCATATTGTTGTCTTAGTGTCAGATGCTGGCACTCGAAGTGCACAGGGCAGGCTGTTGTTAAGAAGGGAAGACAGATGTAAAATGGGGGGAAGCTAGGACAAGCTGGAACAAGCTTGCCTCTGACCTTGTTGGTATGAGCAGCCACAGAAGAAGCTGGAGCTCAACACACATATGGCCCAGGAGTTGGAGAAGTTGAAGGAAGAGCCAGGAGAAGGTGAAACAATTGCTGGCCTGGCTGCTGCCCTATGCAAACATGATGAGCCAGCAGCCAGCCAGTGACAACCTGTGTGATCTACAAAAGGGCAGCTGCTTCACTTCTCCCCTCCAAATCTTGCCCAAGAATCTCTTCCATCCCATCATAATTGGACACAGAAGGTGATTCTAGGAAATAGTTCATTCAACCTAGTCAAATGGACACATTACAAAGCCACCACACAGAGACTGGAGGAGAGTGGGGAGAAGATGGTTAGTGGTTGCTGGGGAGATGGTCACATGACCAGCTCTGCTCTCTCTTAGGTGTCTTGAGAGGATGTGCCTAAAATTCCCTATTGGCTTTTTTTAGAGCTGGAGGGGAAACTGCTGGCAATTATTCCTTATTTGCCTTTAATTTTTTATCCAAAACAGATTAAGAATCCTTTTATATTTATATATAATTATATAGCTTGAGTCAAGGTGCATCTGATTAACTGCCATTAGTTTATGGTTATAGATATTCATTAAACAATATTCCAGCTTTCAGCCAATTCTTTTGTTTAATAGACTTTATTTTTTTTGTGAGCAGTCTTATGCTTAGAGAAAAACCACACAAAAAATAAAGTTCCCATCTACGTCCCCTCCCTCCACACACATTTTCCCCTATTATTACCGTCTTGCAGGAGGATGGTACCTTTGTTACTATTGATGATCAAGAGTGAAACATTATTCCTAGCCAGAATCCATACCTTACGTTAGGGCTCACTCTGTGTTGTACAGTTTTGTGGCTTTTTACAAATGCATAATATGACATATCCATCATTACAGTATCATACAAAATAGTTTCACCCTCCTAAAAAAATCACCCTTTGTGTTTCACCTTTTCCTCCTTACCCCCCACCCACTGGCCACTACCATCTTTTTACTGATCTCTATAGTTCTGCCTTTTCCACAAAGCCACACAGTTGCAATCATACAGCATATGGCCTTTTCAGATTGTCTTCCAAAGCGGCTGTATCATTTTGCATTCCCACCAGCCATGAGTGAGAGCTCCTATTGCTCCACATCCTCAGCAGCATTTGGTCTTGTCATTGTCTTGGATTTTAGACATTCTAATAGGTATGTAGAGGTAACCCATTATTGTTTTAATGTGCAGCTCGCTGAGGACCTAGAATGTTGAACAACTTTTCATATGCTTATTTGCATTTATCTGTATATCATCTTTGGTGAGACATCAGTTCACAATTTTTGTCCATTTTTAAATTGGATTATTTATTTTCTTATGGTTGAGTTTTAAGAGTTCTTTGCATATTTTGGATACTCATCAATAATCAGGTATGTGTTTTGCAAATATTTTCTCCCAGTCTGTGACTTGTCTTTTCATTCCTTTAACAGCCAATACTTTCTAAAGTCCCTTGAAAGGCTCAGAGGCCCTTGGCAAACATGCTGTCTAATTGATTTTCTTTTTTTTTAGCAGCAAAACAACCCACAAAGGTTGGAAGGGTGGAGATGCTTGAAAGAAATGGAAACTTGAGAAATCAGGATGGTGGAGTAGCAGCTCCTAGTCTTTCTTCCAGGAAGCCCAACTGGATTACATCAGCCCCTGGCACCCTCTTCTGCATCTCAGCCCTTATGAAGAATTTGAAGCTGAACTCAGCTTCTCCCCGAAATCTGCTATTTAGTGGTGACCTCATGGTCCCCTTTCCCCTGGACTAGAGGCTCGGCTGACCCTTGGATGTCCCCTTGACTCCTCACACCCACAGAGTCTCACATTGTTATCAGCATCTCCCCCAAAGCTGCCCCTTCTCTCACCTCCCCATTTCAAGGTCTGTTCCACCTAATCCCCAGCCTAGAGCCCTGGATCTCAACCCTCAACAGCCAGTCAACCTCACATGACCCATCCGCTCAGTCTCCTCTCTTCTCCACAGCCCTACAGTGGTCCAGCACTGTCCTCAACCCCTTCCTCCCTTCATCCTGCTCCATCCTCCTCCCAGCGTTCCCAGCTTTAGTCTCACCCCCACCACCTTTCCTGCCATTTGTTTCTTCAACAACTATTTAGAGCGTCAGGCTCTGTACTGGACACTGAGGACAGTGATGAATCATATTGAATGAAAAGTCCCTGAATGTTGCCATTTCTCAGGGCCATGTCTGAGACTGAGTGGGCTCTCCAGAACTCCAGCCCTAGTATCCAGTGCTTTCTGGGGCACTCCATAGACCTCTCAGATTCCTTGTGTTCCAAATTGACCCACCCCTGCTGCTTATGTTCTACCACCCCTACCTGGTGATGCGTCTGTGTCCCTCACTGAACTGGTAGCTCCAGTAGCTGGGGCTCGAGTAGCTGAGACTGTGTCTGTCTCAGCCACCGGGGTGTCCCCAGCACAGGGTCAGCTCACGAATGTTACAGAATGGTAAGGACGAACGAATACCTAGAAGAAAGCATGCCAGAGAGATATTAGGGTCATGCCATCTGCCCTCTATCCCTCACTCAGACCTGACACCCTGTTTCTGAAACCAAAAAGCAGTAAATTTGGCATCTCCTCGCCTGATTCTCATCCTTCTGGGATGAAAGTCCCATTTTGTCAAGAAAATGAAGGGAGGCATTGGGGACCTTTTGTCTCTTAGGGAACCGATGGTAGTAGGAAGGAGGACGCAGAAGGCTAGCGGGCCCCACCGTTTCTCCACGCCCCTTTCATCTCCACTCAAAGGGACCGGACCCTCAAGCGTGAGAGACGGAGAGCGGCTCTGACATCTTGCAGAGCCGGAAAGCCCCTGCCTGTCTGGCGATTGATGGCGTCACTTCCGGCGCACTCGTGACGTCAGAGGCGGAAGCCACACTTGAAGAAGGGGCGGGAGGCGGCGGCTGAGGCCCTGTCATGGAGTTAGCGCAGCAAGCGCGGGAACTGGGCTGCTGGGCGGCGGAAGAGATGGAGGCGCCCGTGGCCGCCCGGGCCCCGGAGTCGACGCTGCGCAGGTGAGGACCTCTCTAGGAGTGACGACTCCCCACCCTGGAGATAGAGTCCCGGGGAGTGAGAACCACATCTTCATCTAAGACGCGCCGCCCTCCCCATCCCCCTCTGCCCGAGTGAGAATAACCCTTGAGGGCGCCCCCGCCCCCCGAGTAGCAAATCCAGGCAGAGAATCCTGAACTGTGTGAGGACGTCCTGGCGGTGACTCCAACACTCCCGCGCCCATCCTGTGAGGCCGCCCAGAGTGAGGTCCCTTGCACCAGTGAGTTAGTAATGAATGCCCCCTCCCGGTGGGGAAATTGGATCTCCAGAGTAAGGCTGTCCCTGCAGCACTTCGTCACCCACCACACACCCCAGCCCAGCCAGTGAGGACCCTCTGGAGTCAGCAAAGACCACCCCATTGAAGATTGAATGTATAGGAGTGATGACCCACAGCTGATAATGAGAGAGCCCTTCCAGGCAGTATAGCCCTCACCCCCACCTCTGGAAGTGACTGGAGAAAGGGAGCACTCCACCATGGAATGAGAATACCCCTACACCCAGTGAGAAGCCCACCCTCTCAGTGACTGAGAACTCCCCAGGAGGGAATACCTTACCCCAAAAGTAGGGACCCTCCCTCCCCCAAGAGGTGAGAATTCCCTAGTAAAGACCTTACCCCCCACCACCCTGCGAATGAACATCCTCCACCCTGTGTGACGTCCCAGGCATCCCCTTACATACTGTTCCCACAGGCTGTGTCTGGGCCAGGGGGCCGATATCTGGGCCTACGTCTTGCGGCATGTGCACAGCCAGAGGTGAGCCTGGCTGCATGAGGGAAGCTGTGGCAGGGGAGGGGACCTAGGCGAGTCCTACAGTAACTCCCCTTCTTCCTACCTCTCCACTATAGGAATGTCAAGAAGATCCGGGGAAACCTGCTCTGGTAACTGGTCCTCAAAGCTGTCCCCTCCTGTCTTCCCCAGCCCCCTCAAGCCATGTCCCCACCCACAGCCTCAGCCTCCCATCTCCCCCTGGAAGTCCCTGTCATCCCCTAACTCTGGCCTCACTTCCTCAGGTATGGCCACCAGGACAGTCCAGAGGTGAGAAGCACGTGCTGCAAGATTTTCTTTCATCCAAAAAGAGGATTTGTAGACCTGCTCTAGCCCCAGCCTTGTGCTGGGTGATGCTAGGGTCACTGTGTCACAAAACAGCCCTGATCCCTGCACTCACAGGGCTTACAGTCTAGGGGGAGAAGGTATGAGCTGTGGTTGGGGGGACATGGATATGGGGCATCAAAGCTGGTGAGGTTGGGAGAAGAGACTGGTTTGGGAGAGATACTGAGACCAATATGGGACCCAATGTGTGCATGGTGCCCAGGTGACATCTGGGGCGGGGGAGGCTTCCAGGAGACCTCAGGACTCCCAGGTGTGGGGCTCAGTGGGGAGATGAGGACTGGGACAGAGACAAGAAACAGGGTGGGAGGCTAGATGAGGCAATCCCAGGAGGAAGGAGGGGGACAGGATAGTACCATAGTGCTCTTCTGGTCCTAGAAGTTCAGGCACCGAAACTGCCTAGGGAAAACCCTCTGCCACCTAACTGGGCAGGTAAGAGACTGCTGCTCCACACAGGGCAGTCAGGCCAGGCCGAGCCCCAGCCAGGCCATGCATCTGACCCTGTACCTGATTCCACCAGGCCCGTCGGAAGTTGAAGCTGGAAGCCGCTGTTGCCCACCTGCGGGCAGAGATCCTGGAGTTAGACCAGAGCCTGGAGCTGTTGGAGCGAGAGACTGAGGCTCAGGGTGACCCATGGGGCTGGACAGATGGGCAGCAGAACAAGGTTAAGGAAAGTACTGATGGCCGCCCCTGTTCCTCTCACAGACATGGCCATGGAGCAGGCCCTACAGAGCGTGCAAGACACCCAGCGTCGTGCTCTCCTCCTCCGGGCCCAAGCTGGGGCCATGCAAAGACAGCAGGGTGGGCTCCAAGGTCCCATGCAGCAGCTGCAGAATCAGCTCAAGCATTTGCAGGACATAGAGAGGTAAGCCTCAGGTGTCCAGGGAGCAGCCCCCGCCAGGCTGGGTAGACACATTCTTAAAGACCCAGTGCTCTGCCCTGAACGCTTCTTGGGTTCCAGAATTCTGAGCTCCACTCCTTAAGATTTAACATCCATGAGACCAGGAAGTTTTGTCATCTCAGCCACCTGTATTTCCAGTGCCTAGAATAGTGCCAGCTATATATCTAGAACACCGGTGCGGGGGAAAAAACGGTAAACGGGACAGTCCTGCCCTCATGGACCTCACACTGTGATGCAGAGGAGACAGGTGGTAAACTAGGAGACAGATCCTGCAATCATAGGTAGAGATGAGCGCTATGAAGAAAAGGTGATATGATAGAAAGGGAGAGGGACATCCTGCCCTAGGTATGATGGTCAGAGAAGGCCTCTTTGAGGAGGTAACATTTGAGTTGGGGGAGGAATTTCCATGGAGAGGAACAGCAGAAGCAGAGCCCTGAGCTTGGCATGTGGGAAGAACAGCCAAGAGGCCAGTTCAGCTTAAGTTTCGTAGGCAAGAGGGAGAGCGTGAGGTGGTAGGTTGGAGAGGTGGACAGAGCGCCATGGAGGCATTGGAATTTTATTCTCAGGCTGGATTCATGGCCTGGCTCAGCCACTTACAGCTGTGTGACTTTGGGCAAAGTATTTAACTTCTTTGTGCCTCAGTTTCTAAGTTCTATAGAATGGGGATAATATTAATACCTACTCTATAGGGTAGGTATGATAATTGAGTGAGTCAAATCACGCGGAGTGCTTAGAAGAGTTCTAATACCCATTGTTGCTTTTCTGAGTGTAATGGGGCCACATCACATTGTTTTCAAGGGTTTTGAGCAAAACAGTGACATGATCTGTATGAGGATCATTGACTACTGGGTAGAGAGCAGACTGCAGTGGGCAAGAGCAGGGAGACCGATGAGGAGGTTAATGCAGTCATCTAGCCAGGAGATGACAGTGGTCTAATTTGGGGTTGGCCTCTGAGATCAAGGCTAGCTTTGCTGGCAGCGAGAGGGGACACAGACATCTGTGCTGCCAGCTCCCTCTTCCCAGGAACCTCAGCCCCAACTGCACTTCTCTCTCCAGGAAGGCCAAAGTGGATATAAACTTTGGACCCTTGACATCAGCAGCCCTGAGCCTGGAGCCTGTGGTCCTGGTAAGAATCCTGAGCCATGGGGGAAAAGATGGGGAGCCTGGGGTTCGGTGGACCTTTGGGCCCTCCTCAAGCTACACTCCCTTCTTCACAGGGTGATGTCCGAACAGCCTGCAGCCTCCGGACCCAGTTCCTGCAGAAGCTCCTGATGCCTCGGGCCAAGGGAGGCAGCATTCCGTGAGTATCCCTCAACCCCCGAGACCCTGCAAAGAACCTGGGCTTTGGGGGTAGTCACTTGTTACAGACGTTGGGCCTCTGGGCTCTGTTAGCCCAGGCCCTGCCTTGACAGGGCTCCCAGGCTGGGAAAAGAGGGAAACAGACCATCATAGACAGTGACAACCCAGGTAGTTAGGGCTGTCAGAGGGTGGGGAGGCCTGAGAGGCGCAGGGAACCCAAATGAAATGCCTTACCCAGCTAAGGAGACAGGACGGGTTCTCTGGTGAGGAGAGTAAAAGGTTGAGAGGGTGTTCCAGGTAAACAGCACACGTGAAGGGGCCCAAGACCAGCAAGTTGATATTAAGTGGGGAACTCAAGTCTGACAGGTGTAGAGAAAGAGCCTGGTTTCCAATCCTTAAAATGGGGACAATGACAACCCCTACCCTATAGGGTGGTGGTGATCATTAGAGGGTGAGTTGATGTGTTCTGTAACATTCTCTGTCCCCTTCCCCAACTCCACAGAACCCCTCGAGATGATCTCTTTGGAACTTCCTACCAGCAGTGGCTTAGCTCAGTGGAGGTGAGGGGGCTCTCAAAAAGGACACACCCTCTGCCCCATGTAAACCTCAGGGTGCCAGGACCTAACTCTTGATCCTTCCCCTTCTCCATGGGTCCCAGCTCGTAGCCCTCCTCCATCCTGCCCTGACCTCACTCCTCTCCTCACCAGTCACTGCTGACAAACCACCCTCCGGGCCACATCCTGGCTGCCTTGGAGCATCTGGCTGCAGAGCGGGAGGCAGAGATCCAGTCCCTGTGCACCGTGGATGAGCTCCAAGATACAGAGCTAGCCAGGTGTGGCGTGGGTGCTCCCACAGTCAGAGCAGGGCAGTGGGCTGAGGAAATTGGGACAGGTCAGGACCAGGCAGGGTGACCTGCTGATGGGGGTGGAACTGAAACCCAGTAACCAATCTGGCAGGTGGGCTGACATTGGTTACCCCCAAGGGCCCAGGCAAGGGGACAGGTCTCCTCTCTCTGCAGCTCGGCCCCTACTCTCGGCTCCCAGGCCCCAGACCAGCCCAACTCTAGCCAGGCCCTGCCGTCCATGGTGCATCTCATCCAGGTGACCCCCAGGACTCCATCCCCTTCCCAACCCACTCGATCCCCTCCCCCAGCCCCCAACCCCAGGGACCATGCCCACCCTGACTCTGTGCCTCGCTCCAGGAGGGCTGGCAGTCTGTGGCTGCGCTGGTCACCCAGCGGGGCCCCCTCCTGGAGGACCATCAAATCCTGACCCGGCACCTCCAAGGCCTGATGGAGCAGACGGAGAGATGTACCGTGGGATCCAGCGAGAGGTGAGGGGTCTCCATGGACAGAGGCCTCTAGGCCATCTCTCTCCCAGAGGTTTCAGGTTATTGGACTTTTTCTGCACCTGTGGCTCCTGTTTCTGCATCCCTGCTTGCTCTTCTGGTTTCTCTCCCTGTGCTACGGCTCCTTGTGCATCCTTGCAGATCTGATCTCCCTCCTCTGTGGTGAGTCTTAGTCACCTTCCTTCTCCTTTGCTCTTTTCTACTCGTGCCCCAGGCAGGCATTGGTGCTGGGGCTCCGGAGCTCTGCCCTGCGGGCAGAACTCAAGGCCCTGCATGCCATGAGCCAGGAGCTGGAGGAGGCTGCTGGGCAGCGGCAGCTTCTGCTCCAGGAGCTACAGGCCAAACAGCAGAGGATCTTGCACTGGCGCCAACTGGTGGTGAGAGGCGGGACTCCGGGAGAAGTGGCAGGGCCTGGTGGAGGGCTGGAGTGAGGCTGGGACCCTTAAGATCCAGAACTGGGCCTCCTGGTGAGGGGAGGGGGCCAGGGTGAGACTCCCAAGAGGAATCAGGACCTGTGCAAAGGGGTGAGCAAGGGCAGAGGCTGGAAGGTGACAAGGAAAAGCAGCCCATCTCCGTGACTTCTCTGTTGCCTAGGAGGAGACACAGGAACAGGTCCGCCTGCTCATCAAGGGCAACTCAGCCAGCAAGACGAGCCTGTGCCGGAGCCCTGGGGAGGTGAGATGGGAGTTGGGGCAAATTCTGGGTAGGGCTGGGTCTCCTAGGGAGGGGGCTAAGCGGCCTCACATTGCCCTTCCCATCCCTTTCCTTCCCCACAGGTGCTAGCTTTGGTTCGACAAAAAGTGGTCCCCACATCTGAGATGGTGGCACCACAGAGCCAGGAGCTGCTTCGGTGTCTAGAGGAGGGAGCCCAGCATCTGCCCCATCTTCTGCTGGGCACCCTGCTGCGGCACAGCCCTGGAGGGTGAGACTGGGCCATCACCATGTCCCCTGCCATGGATGACTGTTGCTCCTTGGGCCCACTCCACAAAATCAATTCCAGTCCTCCCAGTGTTCCCAAGCTGCCAGACCTCACCTTCAGGTCCTCAGCCCCATTCTGGAATCCTAGTCCTCAGACCCACCTCCAAGTTCCTGGGCCTCCTGAGTCCAGCTCCCAGCCCCCAGAGCCTCTGGAACCCAAGCCTCCCTCTCAGTGCCCCACCCAACCTGGATTTTCCCCCACAGGTTGCAGCCCCTCCCTACGGTCCTGCCATCCATCCACCAGCTGCATCCTGCATCCCCAAGAGGCTCCAGCCTCATAGTATTGAGCCACACATTGGGGCTGCCCGCAGGGAAGGTGAGTGCCTGTCCCTTAGGACCCGTCTTCCCACCTCTACCCCCACCCCAGGTGACTGTCCTTCCCCCTTCCTCCAGGCTCCGGAGCTGCTCCTTCCGAAGGCTGCCTCTCTTCGCCAGGACCTTCTGTTCCTCCAGGACCAGCGAAGTCTCCGATGCTGGTATCTGCTCCACATGAAGACCAGCCTGCCGCCAGGACCATCCACCCGGGGTAGGCCTGCCCTGCTTCCTTATCCAGCATCCCAGCCCCTTCCCAGGACCATCAGCGTCCAGGAGAAATCACAAACACCCACTGCTTATACAGTGTGCTGAGTGCTTTGAGCATGCTCACTAGTTTCATCTGCACAGCAGCCCAGGGGTTCTCTCCGTTTTACAGAGGAGAGAACTGAGAAGCAGAAGGCTTGGTAGCTGCCCAGACAGCCAAGCTGGGATTTGAGTCCAGGCCGTCTAACCTGGGTCTGTGCTCCTAACCATGAGGCAGCACTGCTCATTGAATTGCCAAATACTCATCCATCACCAAACAGTAGTATACTTGAGTAGTTAGAAAGTGGGCTGCGTAGTTAAACTACCTGGATTCTCTGCTCAGCCCCACCTCTTCCTTGCTGCGTGATCTCCCTGTGCCTCAGCTTCCTCCTCAGTGGAATAAGCATAATCATAATACCTTACAGAGTTGTTGGAAAGATTCAGTCAGGTGACCCAAACAGGGTATTGAGCCATGCCTGGCTGCAGTAAGCACTCTGTGTCTCTGGTGTGATTCTAGTCACTGTTATCTGCACATGCACAGTGTCTTCCAGTCCTTACCATAAGGGAAGGGAGCATAAGACCCCAGTTTACAGAGAGGAAGCTGAAACTCAGAAAAGTCATTTATTCCTGGATTCACTCAGCAAGCACTCGCTGGGTATGTGCCATGTGCTGGCGCTGAGAGCTCAATGGGGAAAGAGGTGAGAGCTGTCCAGGAGGAAAGATGGTGTCTCCAGTGGGCCCTGGGAGACAGGTGAGGTTTTGCTCAGGAGTAGTAAGCAGAGGTCACATGATGCACCCCTCAAGTACTAGGCTGAGAGCCTGGGCTCTGTCTTGGGGCTCTGGGGAGCCTTGCAGGGTTCCAAGCAGGAGAGGGAAAGGATCAGGTTTAGGCTGTGAGATCACTCTGGCTGCCACGTGAAGGATGGACCGGTAAGAGGCTGAGGTTTGGGCCCAAGGAGGGAGGCTGGGGGACAAGTAAGGAAGCAGGGAGGACACTGAGGGTTGGGCCATGGAGATCGAGGGACCATCAGGGGGAAGGAGGAAGGCATTCAGAATGACGCCTCAGGTATGGTGGGTTTGCACGTGGTAAGAGGACCTGGGAGGAGAGAGAGGATTAGGAGAGATGCTCAGGTGAAGGCTAGATGATTGGAGACTTGGTGACCCAATGGCTGCAAGGCACCAGGGAGCCAGAGGATTCATTGCTGCCCCCCGGGTTTCTAACCTGCAGAGCTGCTGCAGATCTGGGCATCCCAGGAGAAGGAGCAGAAAGAGAACCTGGGGCAGGCTCTGAAGCGCCTGGAGAACCTGCTGAAACAAGCACTGAAGCGAATCCCCGAGCTGCAGGGAGTTGTGGGGGACTGGTGAGAGGGGGGCACGATGAGGTGGGGGCTGACTGGTGGAACAGGCAGAACTTAGACCGGGCGGGGGGGGGGGTGGGGGGCTGATGACAAGCAGAGCATGGTGCTGAGTGGAGGCCAGAGAAGGTCTGGAGGTCAGGCCTTCCCTCTTATGCCATCCCCTTCTCCAGGTGGGAGCAGCCAGGACAAGCCGCCCTCTCCGGGGAGCTCTGCCAAGGCCTGTCCCTGCCCCAGTGGCAGCTGCGCTGGATCCAGGCCCAAGGCGCCCTGCAGCAGCTGTGCAGATGAAGACGTGGCTCAAAGAGAAGTCCAGAGCTTCGCATTTGTTCACCCCAACACTTCACTTCCCTTAATAAGACTTTCGGAAGAAAGCATTGCCTGGATGCGTCAGCCCATTGTCTCTACCCACACCTGCCGTCCCCCTTCACAGGCTCTTCTGTTTTTCCTCTCAGTTGCCTTGCCACTGTCCTATCATCCCACTAAAGCCAAGAGAATGGGGTACTGTGTGCCCCACCCTACCTGAAACTCTCCTCGTCACTTCTACCCTCAACAAAAAGTAATCAAGCACCTGCTCTAAATACTGAGGATCCAGCACTAAAAAAATGGACAGAAGTCCCAGCCTTCAGGGAGTTGTCATTCTAGGACAGGAGAACAGACCACTGACAAAATAAGTAAGCAAAATATTTAGTATGTGGAAGAACTGCTGTGGAGAAAAAGCGGTTGTAGTGGTGTGATTTTTAAATAGAGGGCTACACAGCAAAGGTGACACTCTGTAAAGGTAGAGAGAGAAGGAAGTACATGGGTATCTGAGGAAGGCTTGCAGAGGGGAAGACTACAGCACATGCAAAGGCCCTGCGTTCAGATGTGTTGGTGTGAGGGCTGAGGAGGCAGTGCATCTGCTGGAAGAGGGGAGGGTTTAAGAGATGACATTGCCTTCTAGTTTTATACAATTTCTTTTGTAAATGTAAATTTTAAATCTCTGAGCCATTTGGAATTTATCTAAATGGATTCAATTTTATCTTATTTTAAATGTATCTCACTATCATTTATTAAAATTCTCATTCAGAGCAGTGATTGCCTCTGAAGGAGGGCTGGGTGGCAGGGATCAACCAAGGAGGAGACAAACTTTCTCGAGTTGGGAATATGTTGTACATTGAAGGTGGTGGGGTTAAACAGGTGTATAGATTTTTCAGAACTAATCTAGCTGTACTGATTAGATTGTAGCATTTCGCTGTGAATTATCTTCAACTTATAAAGTAAAACTTTACATCCCTAAACTTTATAAAGTAGTTTTAGGTGACTTGAGATGCCACCTTTTCATACACTAAGTTTCCACGGTTAATTTGGCTGCATCTGTGTTCTCTCCAAGTCCACTGTCTGTCTGACGCTTGTGTGCCATCCCCACAGTGTTTTAATTATAAAGGCTGTGTAATACGTCTTAGTACCTGAAATGGCTGATTGCCGTCTTGCTCTTATTTTTCAATGTGTCCCTGTCTCTTGCTAGGTTTTTCTCCCAAATGAAGTGAACTTTATACCCAATTTGCCTGGTTCCAGAAGAAATACAAACATAGATGGGGGTTTTATTGGGGTTGCAGTTAGTTTACAAATTAGGGATATTTGACATCTTTGAGATTTTAAACCTGATTTTCCACCTCCCTTCCCATAACTCCTCTCTTGGCCTCCAGAGCACCCTCACTCTCCCAGTTCTCCTCCTATCCCTGGCTACTCTTTCCCAGTCTTTACACATTTGCCTTCCTATGTGCCACCTTAGTGTCCCCCCTCCTTTTCATCTCAGCTCCGAGCCACCCCCCTACTGAACAAGAGGGTCCTTACCCCCATCCTTGCTCAATATTTCTCCATAGCACATCTTCTAACATACTGTTTTACTTTATCTTTTATTGTCCTCAAACAAAATGTGAGCTCCATGTAGGTGAATTCCTCTATAAACTAGAAGTTGGACAAACTTTCCAAAATATGATTTGAAATCCAGATGCAGTAAGGGGAAGTACTGACAAAAAAAATAAAAGAAACTTTTACTTGGTTTAAAAAAAAAAGCAGGGCTTCCCTGGTGGCACAGGGGTTGAGAGTCCGCCTACCGATGCAGGGGACACGGGTTCGTGCCCCGGTCCAGGAAGATCCCACATGCCACGGAGCAGCTGGGCCCGTAAGCCATGGCCACTGAGCCTGCGAGTCCGGAGCCTGTGCTCCACAACGGGAGAGGCCAAAACAGTGAGAGGCCCGGGAACCCAAAAAAAAAAAAAAAAAAAAAAACTAAGAAGAAATGACAAATTGGGGGGAAATGTTTGCAGTTTATAACAAAAGTGTGTGTGTGTGTGTGTGTGTGTAGTGTCAAAGTGGAAAAGAAAAATTCCAAGTCCATGGAAAAATGGGCAAAATATATGAATGGACAGTTCTCAGAAAATATGCTCAAGCTCTCTAAGAGAAAAGCAAATTAAAACCCCACTTTGATACATTTCTCACCTACCAGACTGGGAAAAAGGAAACCTGTAATTTTGGCAGCTCCCTCTGTTGGTAAGGCTATGGGAAACAGCACTCTGATACATCAGTGGATGTGCAATATGGAATATCTGTGGGATCATCTCCAGAAAAACTCTATAAGCATTTATTGGACTTCTCTGGTGGTGCAGTGGTTAAGAATCCGCCTGCCAATGTGGGGGACATGGGTTCGAGCCCTGGTCCAGGAAGATTCCATATGCCGCGGAGCAACTAAGCCCGTGCGCCACAACTACTGAGCCTGCACTCTAGAGCCTGTGAGACACAGCTACTGAGCCCGCGTGCTGCAACTACTGAAGCCCGCGCGCTTAGAGCCCGTTCTCTGCAACAAGAGAAGCCACCGCGATAAGAAGCCTGCACACCACAACGAAGAGTAGTCCCCGCTCGCTGCAACTAGAGAAAGCCCGCGCGCAGCCACGAAGACCCAACGCAGACAAAATAAATAAATAAAATTAATAAAACCCCAAAAATAATAATAAAAATTTTTTTAATTAAAAGAAAACGATATAAGCATTTACTCTTTGCCCAGACAATGCTACTTATAGGAGTCTATCCCAAAGACATTCTGGGTGAAATAAAAGTTGTGCGACCTTGTACAAAACAACTAGATCATATTCTTCAGAAAGTCAGTGGGGGTACAGTGGGGATTGTTTTAGATTAAAAGAGACATGACAACCAAATGCAATGCAAAATCTTGATTGAATCAGGGTGGGGTGTTTTAAGTTTTTTTAAGCATTTGCGTTTGAAAGTACATTTTGGGGTTATTTTTTGGTTTGGAGTGTTGTTTTTTGTGGGGTTTGGGGTTGTTTTTTAATATTTATTTGGCTGCACCAGGTCTTAGTTGTGGCATGTGGGATCTAGTTCCCTGACCAGGGATTAAACCTGGGTCCCCCCGCATTGGGAGTGAGAGTCAGCCACTGGACCACCTGGGAAGTCCCGAAAGTACATTAAAAAATTTTTTTTAATTTATTTTTGGGTGCGTTGGGTCTTCATTGCTGCAGGCGGGCTTTCTCTGGTTGCGGCGAGCAGGGGCTACTCTTCATTGCAGTGGCTTCTCTTGTTGTGGAGCACGGGCTCTAGGCGTGTGGGCTTCGGTAGTTGTGGCTTGGGGGCTCCAGAGTGCAGGCTCAGTAGTTGTGGCGCACGGGCTTAGTTGCTCCGCGGCTTGTGGGATCTTCCCAAACCAGGGCTCAAACCCGTGTCCCCTGCATTGGCAGGCGGATTCTTAACGACTGCGCCACCAGGGAAGTCCCGCGAAAGTACATTTTTGAGTCAACTGGGGAAATTTGAATATGAGAAATGAGAGATTGGTATATTGGATAATACTGTATCTTTATAAAATTTCTTTGGTGTGATAATGGTATCGTGGTTAAGTGGGAGAATGTTCTTAGAGAATGTGTGTTGGAGTATTAAGGATGATGTCTGCAACCTACTTTCAAATAGTCTTATTGTTCATAATAATACTGATTTTTTTTATTTTGGTAAAATACAGTTTAAAATTTTGAGACCCAACATCATATATTTTGAAATTATATATTAGACTAAAGCAAATATGTAGCTATGCTAATGTTACTGGGGACTAAGTTTTTAATGCAAATGAAAAGAGATACACGAGACTTCCCTGGTGGTCCAGTGGCTAGGACTCTGGGCTCCTAGTACAGGGGGCCTAGGTTCGCTCCCTGGTCAGGGAACTAGATCCCACATGCGGCAGCTGGGAGTTCGCATGCCACAACTAAAAATCCCTCATGCTGCAGCTAAAAGATCCCACATGCCACAGCTGAGGATCCCGCACGTGGCGGTGAAGACCCCACCTGCCGCAACTAAGACCCGGCACAGCCAAATAAATAAATAAATATTTTTTAAAAAGAAGAAGAAAAGAGATACAAATATAAAATCAAAGAAGTAATACCCTGTAATCTTTCATTTGAATTGGAAATATTAGAATGAACTCATGGGGTTTTCTCTTTCTAAACTATATATATAATACGTATAATAAATATATATAAATATGTATTATATATATATATATTTCCCTAGCTAAGTCCACGGAAAAGCTCTACATATGACAACGCAGTAACAATGAGCAACTCTAGTGCCCAGGCTGTGGCCTCTAAATACCATTTCTGACTCAAAGGAACCAGGGATCCTTGGGGAAATAGCTGATTCTAGGTCTGGGGCAGGAAATGGGCAAAATGAGTATGAAGCATTTTGTACCAGAGAGCAAGGACGTCCTCCAAAACTACTGGGATTGAGTCAAAAGGACTCAGGAGTCTGTATGAAGGCGTTGCCACTGGCTAAAGATGGGACATTTTGAGCAGCAATTAGAATGACTTCAATGGGGACTTCCCTGGTGGTCCAGTGGTAAAGAATCCGCCTTGCAATGCAGGGGACGCGGGTTTGAACAAAGATCCCACACGCCGCAGGGCAACTAAGCCCGCGTGTCACAACTATAGAGCCCACGCGCCTCAACTAGAGCCCGTGTGCCACAAACTACAGAGCCCACGCGCTCTGGAACCCATGCGCCCCAACTACAGAGCCCACGTGCCCTGGAGCCCGTGTGCCCCAACTAGAGAGAGAAAACCCGCATGCCACAACTAGAGAGAAGCCCGCACACCACAAGGAAGAGCCCGGGCGCCGCAACAAAAGATCCTGCATGCCTCAGTGAAGATCCCACATGCCACAACTAAGACCCGATGCAGCCAAAAAAATAAATTAAATATAAATAAATAAATAAATAAAAATAAATATTTAATAAAAAGAATGACTGCAATGACTTGAAGCACATAAATATGTTTGAAAATGTCAGTTCATATTGATATTCACACACACATTCCTCACTGGTCACCTTTGAACGGTGTTAGTAACCAACTCATTTCTTTCCCCCCCCCCAATATAAAATAGAGAAAGAATCAAGCATTTTCTGTCTTCTTTCCTGTATGTGAAAAAGTAACCCAATTCCTGATAAGGAGGACGTTTATAGAAGTCACTAATAATTTCAGAGAGAATGATAAAATTCGAAAACCACTATCTTCCATATGTTAATAAGTAATAGATACAGGTAATGATGATCAAGTGCTGCTAAAACTATTAATGGAAAGATTGATTGAGCTTTTTAAAATGGATGGAACAGGATGACACTGCTGGTCAATCTTGGCAACACCAAAGGAGTACAACCAGATACCATGTGCTCCTGATGAGATACAGCAGGATTACCTCTTAAGTATTCTTTTACCAAATTAAACCTAAATCTAATCAAGCTTCTGTTACTGCAATAAATAAGCAAGGGAGAGGAGGCAGCGAGGAACAAGTGAAACAACATAATTAGTTAAATCCAAAATGTGAGACGTCCTATAGGACAATTGATCAGTTTCTGCAGCAAATAGAAGACAAAAAAAAGAGAGGGTGGGGGGAGAAAGAGAAAGAAAAGGGGGAGGAAGAAAAAGGCAGGAGATGGGAAATTTTCAGGTTAAAAAAAAGACTTTAATAGGATTTTAAAAGCTGGAACAATTTGAGCAACAAAATAACTAAAGTGTAATTGTATAATAACCGAAAGTATAGAATATCCATGAGTCCATACTGATACAAGTGATTTAATAACGAAATAAAGGGGGTACAATAGACATCCCTTGTGCAAAAGAATTCCAAATAATTTATGTAGATATCTCACTCTCACGGAGGTGGAACTTAACTACTCCACTCCTTAAGTATGGGCTGTGCATAGTAAATTCCTTCCAAAGAGCATAAAAAGAGAGTTTTTAATTTATTTTTTATAAATTTGTTTATTTGTTTGTTTGTTTTTGGCTGGGTTGGGTCTTCGTTGCTGTGCGCGGGCTTTTCTCTAGTTGCGGCGAGCGGGGGCTACTCTTTATTGCAGTGCGTGGGCTTCTCATTTGCGGTGGCTTCTCTTGTTGAGGAGCACGGGCTCTAAGCACGCGGG